AGAATGATGAGGGCAATGAATGTACAAATGCGCTTTACACAATTGCTGTGTGTATAGATTGTGATAAGAGTTGTATGAGCCCCTAATAAAATGATTAAAAAACAAACAAAACCAAAACAGCATGCCTCTCTTGCCCTATGCACGTGTCTCACCTGACCTTGCTCTGTGCTACTTCTTTGTTTCCTCAAATGAAGAGGGACATGAAAAGACAGCTATTTGCTGACTTAGAAGAGATGAAGAAAAAAGAGGGAGTGCTGTCAACTATCCAAACAGAATGAAAAGTGTTTCCAAGAATGGAATTGCAGATTTGACAAATGTATTAAGTGTAATGGAGAGTACTTTGAAGGTGATAAGGTTGTTTTGTAAAAATATTTAAATACATAGCTTTTTGGGGGGGATCTTCTTGGGGGGGGGACCCCTTAGTGCGCATGTGCACGCACACACACACACACACACACACAAACACAAAATTTACTTCATGTAGTCTTGAAGGCTGGCAAGTCCCATCTATGGATCAGGCGTCAGGCTGCTTGACTCATGGCTACAGGAGCTGAGGAACCCATAATCTGCTGGTCAAATGGCAGGCTGCTGGCTCAAGTAGCATGCACCATGTATTCAGATGCAGGATTGAGAAGGTAAACTTTGTCATAATATCTATCTTGGATGCAGGCCACACCCACAAGGAAATCCCTTTCAAATGACTGGTTGCTGACATCAAATCATAAAATGGATGATAATTGCACAGTGCCAGCGAAACCACTGAGAACCATGGACTAGCCAGGTTGACAATTAACCTTACTCATTACAGTCATTGAAACAAACTGCTGTTGTGTCAGTTCCAACTCAAGGTGATCCATGTGTGTTAGAGTAAAACGACTCCACAGGGTGGTTCCATGGCTGATATTTTGGGATGTAGATCACCAGGCCTTTCTTCTGCTGTCTCTAGGTGAACTGGAACCTCCCACCTTTAGCAGCTGAGCATGTTAACTATGTACACCTTTCATGGTTGTTAGGTACCACCTAGTTAATTACATCTAGCAACCTCATGTGACAGAGTGTTAATGCCTCCATACGGTTTTCTTGGCTGTAATCTTTATGAGGGCAGATCACCAGGTCTCCCAGAGTCACTGGGTGGTTTTGTTAGCAGTTGAATGCTAAACCATTTGTGCTATGGGGGATACTTGTTTGTACTTTGTACCCACTAAATACCTACAGCTATCAAGTTAATGCCAACTTACAGCAAGCCTATAGGACAGACTAGCACTACTCCTTAGGGCTTCTGAGCCTGTAAATCTTTACAAGAGGAGACAGCCTCACAGTTGGTGGACTGTGCAGTTAGCAGTCCAGCACTTAACTGATTACATCAGCAGGGTTCCTTGTTTGTACCTCAGGTGATAGATATCAAAACCACAATGAGGTACCACTTTCCCTCAACCAAGAGAGGTAAGAATAAAAGTGAAATGGAAAAGAAATATTGGTAAGGAGGCAGAGAAATTGGAACCCTCATCAATTGTAAAATAGTATAGCTGCTCTGGAAGCGTTTGATGATTCTTCAAAAAAATTAACACAGATATACCCTATGACCAAGCAATGGCACTCCTAGGTATAGGTACATACTGAAACTTGTAAGCAGTGATGCAAACAGAAACACACATACCAAGGTTCACTACTGCACTCTGAGTCACTTCCTGGGTATGCAAAATGAGGGTAGTGGCACCCACCTCCATGGGGGCCCCACGCACTGCAGGTGACAGTGATAATGACGTGATTTGCTAATAAACTGATTCATTTAAATCATAGGTATTTTGTGACAACCAGTACAGAACTCTGGGTGAGACAGATCAGCCAACAGTTCCTCCTCGTATGTCAAGTGCTGGGATGGGGGTATGCTGGAGCTTACGGGACCCTTGTGGGACCACTGGAAGGGTCAGAGTCTAAGTGAGAGCTGAGGGAGAATGTGCATAGCTGAGGAGGGAGCAAAAAACCGACACAAGGTGACTCTAAAACCCACAGAGCTATGTGGGTAATGTGTCTATAGTCATAATCACCCATGCCTCAGGCTCCTTTACCAGAAACCTTGAGAAGTGGCATGTATGGAGCACCTTCCAGTGGCATTACATCAACACTGTGTAATGAGGGGTCGGGGCAGGGAGACATGCTGAAATACTTAGGGGTGGGGTAAAGTGTGCAATGCCTTAAAAGAGAGGGAGAGACGTGTGTAACGACAAAATGCTAACAAATGGTATATACTGGGTGTGTATGGAATTCTTTTCTCAATTTTTTCACAGGTTTGAAATTTTCCGTAGTGAATGTTGGGGGTAGAGTAGGAATGGAAGCCAGAGTAAAGTAGAAAGCAAATCTATTTTATACCCAGTTATTACCCTTCTGCACCCAAAACAAACCTCACTGCCATTAAGTCAATTTTGACTCATAGTGATCTTATAGGACAGGGTAGAACTGTCCTTATGAGTTTGAGACCGTAACTCTTTCCGGGAGTAGAAAGTCTCATCTTTCTCCTATGAAGCTGGCTGGTGGTTTCGAACTGCTGACCACAAAATTAGCAGCCCGATGCAGTAACAACTACACCACTAGGGCTCCTCTGATATTGCACTTATAGCAAAATATTCATTTTTATAAAATGCAGAGTTACAAGTAAGTTAAACAGGACATCTTTTTTTTTTACAAAAGCAGGAGAATATGACCAAGAGACTGGACAGCTGAGAGAAACAAGGCACTTTCTAACCCCTTACGACTCCGGGGCTTGTTCGCTGAATCACAACAAGCAGTGGGGAGGACTCTGGAGTCAGCAGGAGGCAGGGGTTTCTGCTGGAGCCCCACCACCAACAACCCACTACATGTGAGGATGTCTTCCAGGTAGGGCTGGCATTATTTCACTCATAAAAACAGGCTGTGCATGTTGAGATGAAAATATTTTGGTGACAGACATTTTCTCAGAAGGGAAAAAAACCAAGAACCAACACTTTTTTATTGTGAATGGGTCAAAGGTGTACAAGCATCAGTTTCATGTTCAATCATTCATACGCATTGTTTCATCTCATTTACTGCTGTCCCCTCAACAGCCCACTTGCTCCCTGTTCCCGTTCGCCTTCCTTCTCTAACCCTTCTGCACTTTGTCCTTGGGCCAGGGCTGCCCTTTTGATCTCCGGTGATGGATCACTCTTAGGAAAACAAACATTTCTAGAGAAAGAGAAAAGCCCAGCTTGAGGGTAAACTCACCTGAAGTAATCACAGGATGCAGCTAGCAGGATTCGGTGGGCTTCAATGTGCTTGCCCTCCACCACCAGGACGACATCGAAAAGAATCCCGCTGTCTCGGAGGGCCAGCAGCCCCCGGAGCAGTGCCTGAGAGTGCTGCGTGCTCCGGTAGGTGTTGTTGATACAGTGCGAGTTTGAGGACTGTGGAGGCAACTTGCAGAGCTGGGTGAACTCTTGGTCCTCTGCCATCCTGGCAGCCTCAGGAAGGCTTCACCACCTCGCTGTCAGCTGGCAAGAGAGGACACAAGGGTCAGCAGGGAGATGAGTATCCTCACCATTCATACAAGCTGGCTAGCTTGTCCCACAAACACTCTTTGTTTATGGAAGGAATACCTCCAGCTCACCTGGGTTTTATCCATGGTCTCCCCAAAGTCCTCCACCCCACCCCACTTTAGGGCCAAACTTGGGACTTCTTCATGCATTCAAAGAAATTTATTTAAAAAAAATTTTTTTTGTCTCCAATGTTAGCTTCTGCAGCACCACTGTGAAACAGAAGCAGTAACTTAGCACTCTAGTGCTGCTGCCACAGAAACACCACAAGCAGATGATTGATTTGTGCACAGTTCAGGATGTTATAAATCTGAATCAGGGCCCCAGTCCTAAGTGAAGGTTTTTTTCCTGTTGGCTCTGGGGGAAGGGAAGGTCTTTGTCTCTTTTCAGCATCTGTGAGCCTGGTGTTCCTTGAAGATCTCCATGTGTCTTTACCTAAACCTGAGCCCTGGGTCTAGGTGGTTCACAGCACAGGAGGCTCTGGGTCCCCTGCTCTAGGATTTTCCTTCTGGGTAGTACAAGGTCTTCCTCTTTATTCAATTCTCTTTATCTCTTATAAGATAAAAAGTGATGCAGGCTTCAACCAAGGGAAGCTCTGCTGACAATGGATCAGGGTTGTGACTTTATTAAGGGTGTTGCATTTCACCCTAAACCCTTTATAGTCTACTGGTATGTGCATTACTGGCAAGAGGATCACAAGCATGAGGACTGCATATTATTGGTGGCAGGAGAGCCGGTAGATGGATCTACAGGGCTGCTCCCAACCTCAAAATTTATCTTCCCCAAATTTTACTCTATCTTTAACCAACTTGTCAGAAAGAGAAGGATCTCCTCTCCCACCTCCTCTGGATACTCTGGGTCCCCTCTGCAATCAGCCACTCTCCCCGCCTTCTCCCTGTACCTATCCCTGCACAATCTAACCTACCCCTTTGCCTTTGGTATCTGAACATTTGCCTGCGGGGCCACCTGCTCCTTCTTCCCCAAGGCCTCTGAGATGGTGGTAGACCAGACCACTCTCCGATAACCACCTTTTCCACTTGGAATTCTCTCTTGCCTGGAAGCTCTCTTACAACAACATTCTTTTCTTTCTGACCTCTTCCCTTCAACCAACACTCTCTGCTCCACGTCCTGAGTTCCCTCCACCTTGACACCTGAGTCGGCAGCTCTTTTGACTACCATATTTTTGTTACTGATACAACCATGTCAGAAACCTTATGGACTCAATGATAGCCTGTACCCGATTACATTCTCTAGTTCCAATTCTTTCTTCTCTCCCCTTTCTCAGCCAGCCACACCCTTATTCCACTTGACACCAACTGGGTTCAATACTTCATGCCCCATTCTTCCCTGGGATGCTAAATGACAAGGCTTCTTCCATTAGACATTTCAAACAAAACTAAAACAAAAAATTCACTGCTATAAAGTCAATTCTGACTCATTTCAAACTCATTGCCATCAAGTCAATTCCAACTTATAGCAATCCTGTAGGACAGGGTAGAACTGCCCCTGCAGATTTCCAAAACTGTAACTTTATGGTAATAGACAGTTTTGTCTTTCTTCCAAGGACAGGCTGGTGGTTTCAAACTGCTGACCCTGTGGTTAGCAACCTAACACATAACCACTACATCCTACAGAGATGCGAATCAAACACCCCACGAAATGATAAACAAACACACACACCTACACATACCCAGACGACATGTTGAAAGGATGTTACAAAACTGGAACCCCCATCCAATGCTGAGGGCAAGTGTAGAAGCCAGCAACACAAACAGAAAGCTGTACACCAGTGTACACCGGTGCATTTTCACAATGGTCAAAAAGTGGAATCAACTGAAATGCCCTATTGATATAGATGAGCCAACAAACTGAGAAATATGCCTACAATGGACTATTATACTACTACAACATGGATGAATCTTGAAAACAGTGTGCTGAGCTAAACAGTTTTGTTGCTAAGAGGGAAAGGCTCAAATGATCTCATGTATAGGAAGTTATGTTTAGAAACCAAAGATTATTCATGGTTATCAGGAATGGCATGGAAGGGGAAGGGGGAAATTTGTGCTTGGAGCGCAATTCGTTCATGGTAATAATGGGTGGTGGAGTCTGGGAAATAGTGACAGTGACCACACAGCATTGAGAATATAATCAATGTCACTGGATTGTACTGTGGAGGAGCC